ATAGAAATGTCCCACTGACGAGGGACAAAGTTCCAGCTGTGTAAGCCTGAGGGCATCTTGCTGGAGAGAGTCAGCACTATTTCATTAAGTATGAAATTTACTGGAGATGAAGATGATAAACCTAATCCCATAGTCCTTCTAGCAAAACACGGCTGGGAATCAACAGGAATGAATGCAAACTTGAGGACGAGCTGCACCATTTGGCAGGAGCTTGTTTTGTGCTGCGTTCCCTGGTCTGCTTTGGTTCGAGCTGAACAAGGGATTGCCTCAACAATGTGGCAACGATTTGCTTTTCTTACAAAGGAAAGAGGGCCCAGAGGCCAAAGTAATGAACTGGGTCCCAGCTCCTCAGATGAGACGTCTGTGGATCGCTGTGTGTTCAATGGGAGCGGGTGCAGTCGCGCTGATTTATAGCAGCGCAGTGTCTGTCCCATTGTGTGAAAAACAAACAGTGCCTCCGAGAGGTTGCATGAGAAGAACCTTTATCGCCAAATTTCCAGCCCAAGGAAGGTGGACCAAAATGGTTCTGGCTTTGAAACTGTGTGGTGTGAAGCTGTGTTGGTGCGGAGGGTTGGGTTTGGAGATGCGAAGCCGTAATCAAACATCTTACTGCCAAAGATGGTTGCTTTTCATCAAAAGTGGTTTGCGAAATAATAATAATAAATCCACGTGCCAGAAATGGTTCAAAGTCTTCAGAAGAATGTTACAAATAGCCAATGCCTTCAGGAGCAGGGAAGCGCCAGGAGAAATATGGGCTAAATTCATTGGATAATCTCATTTGTGAAGAATCATTTGTTCTGCTCCACTAACCTTGTCTTAACTGTATCACCCACCAGTGACAGAGGCTCAGCATTTTGGGCACTGAACCAAAGTGTCACTAGATACAGCTGTGTCCCTGCATGCATGGATAAAACCTGTGTGTCTAAAATCTGTGCCTTGTTGTGGGCCCGTATCCCCTCTGTTCTGTAAGGAATTACCTCAGCTGCCTCAACGATGCTCGTATGTCCCTGATGCTCAGGACTGGTGTGGACCAGGCGAGGCTCTCTCCTGGTCTGGAGGAAAACCCAATCTGCAAAGCCTCCATGTAACCTGCGGAGGGACCTCATCTGATTTTGGTGGAATTTGTCTGCCTGGGTTTTGAGATTCTTTGCCACCTGGTTTCTGCAACATATGCTGCATCTCTTCCATCCTGCTGCAGAGCAAAGGCACGCCTTGGCTTTTCCATCCCTGTTTCCATTTATGAGCTCATTTATCCCATCCATCTTTCTCCAACATCAAATCCTGATTAGGCCGAGCAGGGAAACAACAGGCTTTCTTTCCCACAGGAGGCTCTTTTTGACCTTCCTTTCCTCTCCTTGTCTGACAAATTGTGGGAGCTGACCCATATCTCGGTGGCTGCGGGGATAATTCAGTCCAGCCCCATCCTGGCAGGCAGCTGTCTCTGCAAGCCTTCTCTGCTGTTCTCTGCTTGAGAACAAGTGCCTGGGACATCTCAGAAGGGCTGGCATTTGGGTTAAATAAGAACCAGTGCTAACCTTTGCCCCAAACCCAGGTTGGTGGGGAGGATGGGCTCTTCCAAAATCAGCTGACAGTGAGGGATTGGAGAGGTTTCTTAGCTTCGCTGTGCCTTCCTCTGCCATCTGTGTAGGGGATGCTGGAGGAGATGCTCTGCAGTAAAGAGGTGTGATCACGGGCCTCAGAGCAGCATCCTTGCTTGCTGTGCAAGTGTAGCCCATGGTGCAATGAGCAGTTCTGCTCCTGTCACAGAGTTCTCACAGGAAGAAGTTTTTAAGGACAGCGAGGCACTGGCACAGGCTGCCCAGAGAGGTGTGCAGGCAGCCAAGGTCAGGCTGGAGGGTCTCTGAGCATTGATGGGGCTGTGGGTGTCCTTGCTCATTTCAATGCGTTTGTCCCAGCACAAAACTTTGGCCGTGCAGTTTTGTTCCAGGAGTGCCAAAACTTCTTCCTCTTCCTCAGCTCCTTCCCACCAGTCTGCTTTTAGCAGCCACAGCCTTCACCCCAGGCTTACCATGGTGTAACAGGATCCTCTGGCAGGGGGAATCTTTAGTGGCTGATAAAACCTTAACTGTTGTGCAATGAAAGCAGGTTCCCTTTGAAGTGCGCCTCGCGTTACAGTTAGATGCTCTAGCCTCTGTATTTTAACTACCAATAAAATGATTTATAAGCATAAAGGCCTGAGCCACCTTTAAGGCGGGGGAAGGGAAAGAATTGCTAACGTCATTAGCTGGAATGTATCTGCCTTTTTTCTGGGGGTTATAAATAAGGGGCAGAATCAACCTGTTTGGGCCATGAAATGTCCCTTCCTCTGCACGGGAAGATAAATCCTATCAATTTCTTTGTGGAAGGTTTCAGTGTATTTGTGGCTGGAGAATCCAGGCTCTACTGGGAAGCGCTGCACTTCGGCGTGTAGTTATGAATCTCATTTGCTTGCATGCGTGTTTACTATCATTATTCTTTATTATTTGCTGCGATGCTCCAGCTGAGACAGAGTTATCACCTGGCTGGGTATGCTGCATTCTAGGAGTTAATTACAGCCCCTGTCTTAGGTGGTTGACTGCTGAAATAAACTAAAACATGAGAAAAATGGGCTGATGGTTGGACTGGATGATCTTAGCAGTCTTTCCAACCTAAATGGTTCTAGGATTCATGGGGTTTATCCTCACTTTAAAAGTGATGACCTGATGCATAAGGACCAACCCTTCTTGAATGTTTCTACTGACTTCAAATTGGACAGACAAAGCTCTTCCAAGGTCACAGGAGGAGCTTGTAGCATAATTAGGAACCAATTTTTTCTCTAGTTGTAGTCCAAAGCCATGAAAATAGCTTTCCTTCCTTCCCAAGCCCATGTGCATTGTAAGCTTAGGGGCATCCCAAGGATGACCCCTGAAAAGGCCTTTCTGGCCCATGCGCTGTAAAAGGATCTGCTCAATCATCTCCCTTCACAATAAAATAAATATGAAGTAGATAGGAAGCAAATCAACTGCACGCCCTTTGCTTTGGAGAAGCAAAATAAGAGAAGCTGTACACATCTTTGCATTTTACCTTTGTGTGAATAGGTGTGCTAGTGCACAGACATAACTTCATGTGATGTAATGGAACATGGCCCAAATATCCCCAAAGTTTTGACATTCCTGGACTACACTGAGGGTAGTGAGGCACTGAGGTTGCCCAGAGAGATGGTGAAGGTCAGGCTGGAGGGGCTCTGAGCACTGATGGAGCTGTGTGTGTTCAATCGCAATCCATTCTATCCATTCTATCGCAATGGAGTTGGCCCAGATGGCCTTGAGGGTCCCTTCCAATTCCAATAGCCTTAAATGTGGAAGAGGAGAGCATTAGCCAAGCAGCGCATCCTTAACGAGCAGGAATTAACACATACCTGTGTGTGAGGGAAAAGGGCAGGACCATCCACCTCTTATGACCGTGCAAACAAAAGGTTGTTTATTTGTGCAGCTCCCTGCTCCTAGAAACTGTGTCATGGGTTGGACTGGATAAAAAGAACTCGAAAGCGCCACAGGCCTTGATGCTCATTCATTTCTCTCTCCTTAACTCTGTCCTAGATTTTGCTAGCGATTTCTGATGCCAAAAATGAACACAGAGATTCCGACCTGCATGGACTCTGTGGATCAATGCAGATCGGATGTGTGCTGACCTATTTCTGTCACGCTTTTGGAAGGTGCTGGGAGGTTAGGCCGCTCCAGGCAGCGCAGTAGGGACAGGTCTGTAAAGAGGCACGTTGGGTGCCAAGGACCTGACATCAGCACTGCATGCATTTCAGAGAGCTGCTCCAAAGAGGGAAGGGAGCCTTGGACTCAGATTCCATTTTATTTGAGGGAAAGAGTTTTGTTTTGGTTCACAAGACGTGGGGACAGTTTGGATGGCAGTGCCTCAGCCCCTTGTAACCCCAGCTTCTGACCTCACGTTGAGCAGCTTGGAAGCCTGATGGAGGATTTTTTTCCCCTGAATGCTTTACACTCTTGATTTTTGCTCCATTTTTTTCATGTTGCTGTGAAATTTAATCGTGTTTCCTAGCCCTTTAGGCCTCACAAAGTCCAGCAGCTGCATTCTCATCTGGCTTGAAAGCTTATCCGCATACTTCTGAACCCCAAACAGGGATCGGTCCTGAGAGCCTCTCTGATTAAATAAAGTAAACCAAACCCAAGAGACAGCCTGAGAAGCACTTCCCACTCTCCAGAAGGGAGATTGCCCATGATAAAACACATCAGTGCAGACATGAATTTAGAAAAATCTCCCCTCTTGTCTTACAGGTAAACTAGCACTGTAGGAAACACGAGCCCAGCTTCGAACATGCATTAATACTGCATCTGTTTTAATGCATAGAGATTTAAATTGGCTGCAGTACAATGCTAGAGCACACTGCAATGCCTCTTGCAAGGAGAGCATGTCTTAGCATACAGACAACAGTGATTTGCTGCAGTACAGAGGAGCTAAGAAAACCTTGTATTCCCTCCGGTCTGGTTGTATCTATTTAGCTTGTCTAACATAGAAACCATGATGCTAATCTGTCTATTTATCCCTCCTAACAGTGCAGCCGTGTTGCTATTATGGTACTTAATCCTTCAGCATAATTCACATAGTTGTCAGATAACGAGGCAGAATGGCCAGGTGGTAGCAATGCATCTATTTGGTATGGACTGACTCGGAATACACAAGCTGAATTATTCCTCTTCTTCTCACACTGCTGCTGATAGAACCCTCCCGTGCTCTTAATGATATCTTTCACAATATTAAATGCCTGTGTCTTTACCCAGGAGACAGGGCAGTGGTACTGTTGTAATTTGAGAGAAAGGAGAGTAAGGAATGGGGACAAATACCCTGAAAGTCAATGCCAGGCCGCAAACTTGAACCTATCTTTGGCCAGTGCAGTGTCTCAGATTGCCATTGGATGCGTTATCAAGACATCATCCAACTCAAGTTTATTTTTGGCCAGTCACACATCATCTTTTCTATCCCTGTCCCAGGTGTGGTTCAGCAACCGACGAGCGAGATGGCGCAAACAGGCGGGTGCAAACCAACTCGCAGCATTCAACCATCTGCTGCCGGGGGGCTTCCCACCCACAGGAATGCCAACTCTGCCCCCATACCAGCTGCCAGACTCCACCTACCCAACCACCACCATTTCCCAAGGTAAGCATTCATTTGCCCGCTCTGCTCCTCTCCTCTTGCCCTACATCACCCTGTTGGCCATTCTTTCCTTGGTTTGCCCTCCATCATCCCATTGACCATTCCTTCTCTGCTTTGCTTTACATCACCCTGCTGGCTATTCCTTCTCTAGCTTGCACTACATCATCCCATTGACCATTCCTTTTGTCCTTTGCCTTACAACATCCCATTGACCATTCCTTCTCTCCTTTGCCCTACAACATCCCATCAGTCATTTCTGATTTGTGACATTCCTCTGTAACAGGTAGGTGGTTTTCCTTTGTTGTGGAGACCAGCTTTTGGCTCACATCAATGGAAACTTCGCTTTTTCCTCTGGAGAGCAGGTGGATCTGCTCTGCTCACTGTCCCATGGTCCTTTCTGCTACACCAGTGTGTCTCACATCTGTTCCGCTCAGCTTTGAGGTGAAGATTCCATCAGTCCAAAGCAAACAACATGGGCCAAGCTGGATGTGGCCCTGGGCAACCTGGCCTAGTAGGTGGCAACCCTGCCCACAGCAAAGGGTTGGAACCAGATGGGATTTAGGGTCCCTTCCAACCCAAGCCATCCTGTGATTTTATCATCACCTCTTTGCAGATGGAGGCAGCACCGTGCACAGACCCCAGCCCTTGCCACCATCCACCATGCATCAGGGAGGGCTTGCTGCTGCCGCTGCAGCTGACTCCAGCTCTGCCTATGGGGCCCGACACAGCTTTTCCAGCTACTCAGACAGCTTCATGAATGCTGCAGCTCCTGCCAACCACATGAATCCTGTTAGCAATGGCCTCTCTCCACAGGTATGTGACCCGCTTCCATTCTCTTTCTTTGGCTGAGAGCATTTGGCTGGTCCAGATCCTCTGAGAGCAGGGCAGGCTTCAGGCTATCACAATGAATTATAGTTAACAAGGGAGTTATTGTTATTGTCACGAGTTCTTGGAGGCGGCCTAGTTAAAGCAATTAGTTAATTTGTTTACCGGCAGTATCCCGATCCTGAGCTCAGCACTGTACTGCCAGAGCATTTGCATCCTGATAGTTACCACATTCAGGACATCGCACTTCGGACGTCAGGACCTAGAGCATTGGTGTTTGCCTTCTCAGTGCTCCAGAAGGATTTCTAAGGCAGAAATTATGTTACTCGCTTACTTCTTACCCTGCCAAAGGTCCAAGCAGAGCCCTGCCTTGTCCCAGCTGCCTTCCAAAGGTTATCACCTGGCTCTGTCCTATTTCTTCCAATTGCATGCATGGCATTGCATGCTGTGTGTAGCAGAGAAACAAGCCTCAGCAGTGTGGACTTTAATTCCTCCATCAGCAGCAGTTCTGGAGAGAGCAGAGAGAAGGGCTTGGGCTGTGTGCGTGTCACAGGATGTGGCTCCTGTTCTTGGCCAGTGAGCCCTGCAGAAGTCAGTGGAGATGCCAGGATTTGCACCAGCTGGGAATGCACCCCCTACCAAATCCATCTCTATCACTGTTATGGGTAAAAGCTCTAACTTTTTGTTACCTCAGTAGGCAGAGGTCTTTGGTTTACTCGACACAAATCTGTTTTCCAAATGCACGTTTCCTTTTAAGTGCAGTAAAGCACATACCATACGCTGAGCATCAACGGCAATGACTCGTATTTATGCAGTACCTGCTGTCCTGAGGGCTGCCAAATGTCTTCCACTTTTGCTCTCAGTCAGTTGTGAGATATGGAGACTCATGAAGCGCCTGTGATTTCGGAATGGCCAGTAACACTATTTAGGACAGGAAGCACAAAATAATCTGAAACTACTGGGAGAAATTAGGTAGGCATCTGAAATGAAAAGGCTACAACTGTTTAGAGAGGGATCCAATAAACGGGGACATCACAGAGGTAGATAGATTTTAAGGTCCAGTAACTTGTGATTTCTCAAGTGTGAAAACAAACATAGAGTGTCAGTGGAAAGAGGGAAATCTTGCAGCTCCTCTGAAACAGTATAAAAATCCCACTTCTATCTTGGGATGGTCATAAGATAGAAAACGTGTGACTGGTGTGGGGCTGAATATTGCCACAAACAGTGTGGTTTTGTGGGGGAAATAAGGAGACATCATTCTGACAAGGGGTTTCTAATAGCACCAGGCTTGGGAGATGAGCATACAGTATGGGATTCAAAGGCAGGTTAGCTAGTCCAGGGCACATGATTAATTCCTATTCTCACAAGTGCAATTTAGCACCAAAGAATAAGTTGGGGGTGAGATGCACGTGATAAGCTGCACAGGCACCAGACGTGTACAAGTCCATCGTGCAATTTCCATTTCTGTACCTTCATCATCTACTTATGGTCCCGCTCACTCAATCAGAGGCTCATGGAAATGACCATACCAATGCTTTTTCTGTGCTTATCCCTATCCCAAATTACCCTGCCCCCAGGCTCAGGGTAGGGGAAGATAGAGGCCTGAGCCAATAAGCCCTTTGTATGGGAAAGAGAGGATACATTATCTTGCAGTCCTGAAGAAAAGAGAGCTTTGCACCCCCAAGAAGGGGAGATTCCCGTTTTCCTAATGCTTCTAATCATGTGAGGGCCAAGATATCAGCATATAAATTCTTCTATTTCTTTTGTGCTTGGTGAGGCTAACCCAGGTTATTTTACGACTGCTTTCTGTTTACTGATCTTGCCAACTCACTGCTTTCCTAAGCTCTCTGCTGTTCCCAGTGGAGGGATGTGAGAAATGCTCTTACCCTCTTGAACAAGAGCTGTTAGAAATGTCCTCTTTTACACGGCGAGGTGTGTAAGTAGAGGATAGAGAATGCTTTGCACAACTCACATGAGCACAGTTCAGCCATTCATCTGAATTACAGGTAAAACCTCAACGCTCCCATCCTCCTGTGCTGCTCCCTGTGACATCTCCAGGGCTAAATACCAACTGCAGGGAAGGACGGAATTCAAGAAGTAGGAAAAAAAAAACCAACAAAAAAACAACCAGCAAACTTAAAATGATGGCAGTTTGTCTGAGCTGCAAACAGACAGTTCTCTGGTTTCATCCCTCAGCAGCAGCAGGAGGGAGATTTCTTTGCAGTTTAGACAAGGCGGTGGGGGCTGCCAGCTCGGAGCTCCCAACATTTGCTCAGCATGCTATCCAGTTACCCTGGGATTGGGTGTCCCAGCCAGAATCCACCAGACGGGCCTGATGCTGGCAGCTGAAATTCAAGAGGAGAAGCATGGCATTTCCATTCCCACAACAGAGAAAAGGGGATTACGTTTGGCCTCTGCAGGCTTGGTCCCCCCACGCTCGGTCCTCCCCTCCTGACACAAAGGGCAGACATTGCTGAGTTTTACCCAGACTTCACGTGGGAAATGGCCACGTTTCTTGCTTGTTTTCCAGCCCACAGCTTTGTGCCTTGTCCCTGCTCTGCTCCTGGATCTGTACGACGCTTCCCAGCAGGGACGTCCACTTCACCCAGTTTAGAAGTCACTGTGCCTCCGCTCCAGACCTGAGTAGTTTGGTCTTCAGCTCCCTCATCCTACGGTGATGTTTGAGGGACATGGTTTAATTCATCACGGTGGTGATGAGTTGATGGTTGGACTAGAGGTCTCTTCCAGCCTTAATGATTCTATGAGTGGGCATGGTGGCGATGGGTTGCTCAGCTGGATTAGATTACAGTGGTCTCTTCCAACCTGAGTGATTCTATGATGTGAGAACACTGCCTCGGTTGTGCAAAGAGTCCCACACAATTAAACCACTACTTAGAATGATCCCACATGCCATTCTCTGTCCCAGACCTTCCTGGAAGTCCTCAGCGTAACCTGAGCAGTTATTTGGGATAGCTTTGTGCTGGGACAGCCTTTGTAGGAAAGATCTTGCTCTGAGTGTTTCAAAAAGCAATCATCAAAGCAGGCCAGCTGCAGCCAGATGTGTCCCCCCACAACTGCCAGGGGCTGCAGCAGTCACAGATTGTCAGAAAGCTGCTCTGGACAGTGGAGAACATCACAGTGAGGTCCCCATCTCCTCAGGGTATTTCATAAATCCCTCTTAAATACTTTTCAACTCATTTTCATCTCACAGATGATTTCCCATTTGTCTGGGATCACCTAACAAACTGAATTACTGCAATGCCAGGTACCAGGACATCCTTAGCCATGTGCTGCATCACATTTTGCATCCATCTCTGCTGAAGTTCAGACCTTTGCTATCTGAGAATCACCTCTCACTGTGGCTGGTGTGAGGTTCATCACAATGTTTATCATCACCAGTGTGATGGTAAACTCAGTATGAGCCCAGTTAAGTCCAGTTGAGCAATTCCCTGATGGTCTTTCAGGATGGTTTTTGAGGGACGTGGTTTAGCAGGCATGGTGGTGATGAGCTGATGGTTGGACTACATGATCTTAGTGGTCTTTTCCAACCTTAACGATTCTGTGGTTCTGTGAGGTGTGGGAAGTGGGAGGAAATTGAGTTGATGAGTACCTTACAAGTCAGTGTAAAGTGAAAATGAAAGGTCGAGCCTTTGTGATGATGGGAGATTCCCTGGGTACTTCTTAAATGGCAAATAATTCTCGTGTTTTATTGTATTCTGAGCTACTTTCCTTCTAGCACATCTCTTCTGCCTCTTAGAATGTCTTCTGGTCTTCAGAAGGCTTCTGTTTACTGCTTCACCTCCTCTAATCTCTGCTTCCAGAAGGCTTTCGCTCCGGGCCTGTATTTCAAATGTGTCTCACCATCCACTGTGGCATGTTGGGGTCTTGTGAGGGATTGTCCAAAAGCAAGAGACGGTTGGTTTATTGCAAATGGCTGCTGTCTATCTGGAGAATGTGTTAAGGCAGAGTTAAGAGCCAGGCGCTCCCTATGCTTCCATCACATGTTATTTCTGAGAGCTCTGAATCTTTCAGCAAACCCACAGGATTGCCCAGCGATTAAGACAGCTCCAGAAATGCTGAGAGCCAAGAGAAACTTGTTCATCATCTCATATTTGTTGCTTTAATTTTCGGAGGGCTTTCAGTGGCTTTTTGTGCTCCACAAGCAGGTTCATTCCCAGTGTAACAACCATAGAGCCAGCGCAGTCGGTGTGGCTGTGGCTGGAAACCAAAGGTTTCCAACCAAATCTTGGAATCGGGTTTTACAACTTCAGCTTTATCACCATTCCTGGAGGGAGCCTTGAAGCCACAAAGCTGGGCTCTGACCACACGTTTTCACTCTAAACCCAAAGTTCTCTTCAGTCTACCCAAGCGTTGCATTTCCCGACACCATCCCAGCTCTTCCCACTGCCCAGGGTAATGTTTTCCTCAGCCCCACTGGGGTGGGATTAGAGATGATCTGAATGTGAGAAGAGCCAGCTCCAGCCTTTTTTTTTTTTGGGGGGGGGGGGGAACCTGGCAATGGGGAAGGACACGATGTTAGCTGGCGAGAGAGAAGCAGGCATTGCAGTGTCTGCCTCCTTCCTGCAGTGACATGGATCCTTTCTGTCTGCTTCTTCTTCTTCTTTTTTTTTTTCACTTTCCAATTTTTTTTTTTTTCTTTTTTTTTTTTTTTTTTTTCCTTTCTTTTCTTTTCTATTTTTTTTTTTGTTGGAGACACTGTGCCTTATAATAAGCATTCAAAATGAGTCTTGCTGGGCCAGGAGAAGGGGAGGGGAAGAAAGAGGGGGAGGAGAGGGTGAGATTTGGGGCGGGGGGGAGAGAGGGGGAAAGGGAGGAGGGGGTTTAAATAGCAAAGAATTAGGAAAAAAAAAAATCTGATGCAAATCACTAGTAGAGAGAAAATTATGTGCAATTACCCAAGCGATACTGGGCAGCCGTGCCCACCCCAACCAACAAGATCTCATTAACAAGCAGAAAATAAGATTGAA